CAAGGGTGACGTCACAGAGGTGTTGATCGACTAGATCCGCGCAGCTCGTCTCCAGCTCAGAGAGAGTTTCGGCTCGGACTTTCCTGTTCCCTGCGTCTTCCTTGGCTTCCCCCCTGACGCGCCTGGTTGGCAGTTTTACCACCCCACCTCGCGCCGTGTTCTGTCCTCCCAGGACGTCACCTTTGACGAGTCGGTGCCTTACTACCGTCTCTTCCCCTACCACACTGCGCCCCTTCCCCCGCCGCCGCTCTTCCTTGCGCCAGGTCCCCCCCCGGTAGACCCTCTCCCCCCTCAGGGTCCTGCCCCGTCAGGTGTGTCCCAGGTAGACGCAGTCAAGCCTGTCGAGGTAGCTGTTGACTCTGGTGCTGCTAGGGGTGCTGAGTCTGGGGGTGCTCAGCCTGGGGGTGCTAAGGCTTGGGGTGCTGAGCCTGGGGATGCAGAGCCTGGAGGTGCGGAGCCCGGGGGTGCTGAGCCTAGGGGTGCGGAGCCTGGGGATGCTGGGTCTTCTCGTGTGGCCTCTGGCGGGGCTGGGTCTGGGGACCCTTCAGATGCTTCGTCTCGGCGGGAGCTACCCTCTCCACAAGAGCTGCGCGAGTGGTTTGTCCGGCGCTAGAGCCGTGCTGCGGGAGCTGGAGGTGCTACTGTTGCTGCTGACCCTGGGGTCGGCGCTGGAGGTACTGGAGCCACTGGTCCTGGAGGTGCTCGTACTAGCGGTACTGGCACAGATCAGATGGCACTGTGTCCTTCCACTGCTCCTCTGTGTGTCCCGTTGCCGTCTCCTCCAAAGTCCTCTCTTCGTGTTCTTGCTCACCCGGAGTCTAACTCTCTTTGGCTACTAGTCCTACTGTCACTCGTCTCCTGGCTAATGTTGTCACTGACCCCTTATTTGAGTCCACTGCTGCTTCTGCCTTAGTTGCTGAGCTTGTCGACTTTGCTGCGCGCTATCGTCTAGACTACGTCGCTAGTCTGGTTGCTGAGCCTGAGTCTGTCTGTCCTCCGTCCGACGGGGGTGAGTGTGCTCTTAGCACGGACGTCCTTGAGGACAGACAGGAGGTGTTCCAGTGTTTTACTGCTGCTTTGCCTCATCTCGTGTCCACACTGTTTGCCCTTGAGGGAGACCCGGATGCACCAGACATCCTGACTCCTCGATCGTACGCTGAGGCGATCGAGGGTCCCTACTCCTCTTAGTGGCAGTCAGCCATGGACGCAGAGATGGTTTTTAGGAGGTTCCCCCACCTGGGGCGAACATCGTCAGTGTCATGTGGATTTTTAGGGTGAAGCGGCGCCGGGTTCTCCGCGTGTCTTCAAGGCGCGTTACGTGGCTCGAGGCTTCAATCAGCGGCAGGGAGTTGACTACTTGTAGACCTTCTCTCCCACCCCGAAGATGACCACTCTTCGGGTGCTGCTGCACATCGCCGCTTAGCGCGACTACGAGCTTCACTCTCTTGATTTCAGCACAGCTTTCTTGCAGGGCAGCCTGCACGACGAGATCTGGCTACGCCGCCCACCTGGTTTCACTGGGTCGTTTCCTCCTGGTACCCAGTGGAGCCTCCAGCGGCCAGTCTACGGTCTCCGCCAGGCGCCCCGTGAGTGGGACGACACACTGAGAACTACACTTGCGGCTCTTGGGTTTGCTCCTTCTACAGCCGACCCGTCGCTGTTTCTGCGCACCGACACCTCTCTGTCGCCGTTCTACATCCTCGTGTACGTCGACGACCTGGTCTTTGCCACTGCTGACACTGCTGGACTCGCCCACGTGAAGTCCGAGCTGCAGAAGAGACACACGTGCACAAATCTGGGTGAACTGCGCAGCTACCTTGGCTTGCAGATCACCTGGGACAGAGCACAGCGCACCATTACCCTGACTCAGTCACACATGGTGCAGCAGGTCTTTCAGCGCTTCGACTTCACGTACTCCTCGCCTTAGGCCACTCCTCTGCCTACTCGCCACTCGCTCTCAGCTCTGCCTTCAGATGAGTCCGTAGAGCTCAGTGGCCCGTACCCAGAGCTTGTTGGCTGCCTCATGTACCTGATGACCTGCACACGACCTGACCTTGCATACCCTCTTAACATCTTGGCACGCTATGTTGCTCCTGGGAGACACAGACCGGAGCACATGGCTGCAGCGAAGAGGGTGTTGCGCTACTTGTGCAGTACGTCGGGCGTGGGGCTAGTGCTTGGAGGGCGGCGTTCAGTGGTCCTCACAGGTCACGCAGATGCTTCTTGGGATGACGATCAGGCTACGCAGCGGTCGTCACAGGTTTACACCTTCAGCCTTGGTTCCGGCTCTGTTTCGTGGCGGTTTACCCGCTCGTCTTCTGTTCTCGGCTCTTGCTGTGAGGCTGAGATCTACGCGGGGGCCATGGCTGCACAGGAGCTACGCTGGCTCACCTACTTGCTGACTGACCTAGGAGAGCCGCCTCGTTTTCCTCCAGTTCTGTACGTAGACAACAAGGCCATGCTGGCCTTGTGTCGGGAGCACAGACTGGAGCACACAACGAAGCACATTGCTCTACGCTACTTCCTTGCTCGTGAGCTGCAGCAGCGTGGTGAGCTGCGCCTTGCTTAAGTGGCCTCTGAGGCGGGAGGATTGTGTTACCATTCGCGTGATTTTTTACCTGTTGTTACTGACTGAATCCGTGACCCCCCTTACCAGATCCGTCAGGAAACCCGATACAGTTACCGTACGCGTTTTTTTTCTTTCAGTCACGTTATCGAGTCCTATGTTCGCTACTTGTGGCATATTTTCCCTTCCCTCTCCATCCATCCTAAGAACCACCCGTGCCTGTAGTTTCAAATTTCCCCCTTCCCTCCCCATTCTCCCCACCCCTTCCTAAACTCTTCCATCCGTCTGTCTCCCCTCCAATTCCCCCTTTCCCCCCTATTTTCCCCCACCTTTCTCCCCTCCTCGCCCCGCTTATCTCCCATTCTTTACTTCCTCTCCCCTGTCGCTGCCTGTCCACCGCCACCTCTCACACTCTTGGTCTGTTTCGGTCTTCCCCTTATGACACGAAAGGAAGTGCGTGCCCCTATTCGCGATTCTTCCTATCCACACGCTTCAGACTTGCTCAATCTGCTGCGGCGGCGAATATCTCGCGAATCTGCTGCTCGCCCGTGCGAGCAAACGAGCTGCTTTGACCTCTTCTGGTTCCTTCTTTCTTTCTCCCGTGTGAGCTAACAGCATTGACATTCTGCCTGTGGGCGTTTGCACTCCAACTGTCCGAACTGTAACCACTTCGGGTTAATCTTCCCAAAACGAGATAAGAAGTTTCGACGCCCACGACAAATATCATTTCGCATGCCCCATTATCATTAACCCTCTTCTTGCCGTATCGACTCGACACTACTGTACACAGACGGTTTCTTTATACACCCCGCACAAAAACAACCAACTTCACTGACGACTTATCTGCGATGGGAAGCGATTCGAGCGGACGGCTTCTCCACTTGCGTCGAGTGCCGCAACCAGTGCACGCAGGCGGAGCGGAGCGGTTCTCAATGCTCATTTGCTCAACGCTGACTTGCGGAGCAGCAGGACAGGCAGTCTGCTTGCCAACAGAAGCACAAGCAGTCTCCTGAGCAGCCTGCTAACTCTGAGGCGCCTAAGGCGTGATAGGAGAGCAGACCCATGACCATTTGTTCGGCTCTAACTTCTCTTGTCAAGCTCTTGAAGGGGACGACACGTTGTTGCTGAAAAGCGATTGACGAGGACGACGTCACTACGCCATCGCAGCGCAACGAGTAGTGGTGGTTGTACAGTAGCCATCTCGTCGCGGCACTGTGCTCGTCAAGCGAGCAACCCGCTCCTGCGACTAGCGCTTCGGGCCGAGATTTGCCTCATCGCGGCGCTACCCCGGCGCCAGTTGCGCGTTTGTCCGTTTTTGCGAGACGTATCGTCGTTATCGTTAGCTATCATCGGTCCCGCGCCGCGTAAGCACACCTTGCCTAAAGAACGACCACCCGAATCGCTTCTCTGGTCAACGGAAAGTGTTGACGCCGCGCCAGGTCCGCACCGGGAACGTACATTACCACTAGTACTAATAAACTCAGGGCCTGGCGCTCATTCGGTCGTAACCCTCAGCTTTTCCTCGTTCCTGAAAGTCTTGGATCGAGAGTCGAGACGTACTACCAAAGTTGGAGACTAGTAGTGCCCGTGTATTTCCGAGTTGACTTTTGAGTCGACTCAAAAGTCACGTTGGAGACTAGTAGTGCCCGTGTATTTCCGAGTTGACTTTTGAGTCGACTCAAAAGTCACGTTGGAGACTAGTAGTAGTGCCCGTGTATTTCCCCCAATCAGCAAGACCCCTGTCCATAGTTCCAGTGCCACGCTTCGCTTCTTTCCACGCGCTCCGGTGGTTTCCCATACTCTTCTTTTGACCCATCTCAACCGGCCCTCGCTATCCATTTTTTCGTCACACAGCCTGTCACGGTGGAGTTAGTATTTTCGACCCTGGCGCGACTCAGGAAAGCCCGACGCGTGACTCGTGTGCTCGTTCCAAGAAACAGCTCGGTCTACCCTCGTCACACTTTTGCCGCCGCTGCTACTACAGCAGCCGCGTAGGAGCCATACTGACAGCAGCAGCAGCAGCACCATCGTTCTGCCCTCCTTAAGATTCACGGTCGCGCCATGGCGGTATTCGCGGTTCGTCACGCCGCTGCTGCCGGCGAAAACGCTCGTTTGCTAAAAAAAACCCCTTTCGGAAAGGCTCGCCGCGCCACTTGTACCGCCGCGCCGCCCGAAGCCGCTCTTTTCGCCCTCCGTCTCGCGCTCCTCCTCCTCGTACTGTCATCGGCCTCTCGCTTCCCCACATCTGCGGCTGCAGCGCCAGCGGCGGCGGCGGCGGCGGCGGCGGTCCCGGTGCTTACAGTCCCGATGAACGTGTCCGCCGGTGAGGGATTGCTGCATTCCGAGTCTCTGCTCTGCTGCATCTTGGGATGCGGTCCTACGCCGCTCTCTGGTTCTCGCCCTTCCTCTGCTACCCTTCTCGGGCCATACGCTCATGCCTGTGCGACCCTCCTCCCCTCCCCTCCCCTTCCCCTCCCTCACCTTCCCTCCCCTCCTCTTCCCTGCCCTCCTTCGTCTTCCCCGTCTTCCCCTCTTCTCCCCCGTTCCTCTTCTCCCCCGTTCCTCTTCTCCCCCGTTCCTCTTCTCCCCCTTCCTCCCACTTCCCCCAGTGCCCGTGCTGCTGCAGCTGCAGAACACGCTCGAGCTCGTGCACTACAAGTGGGCGGGCTGTTGAGACGTCTCAAAAGCTCCCCCTTCCCTCTCTCCCTCCTTCCCCCCCTCCTCCCCTCTTCTCTCTTTCCCCCACCTCCCCCCCCCCCTCCCTCTCCCCCCCCTTCCCCCAGTGCCCGTGCCTCTGCAGCTGCAGAACACGCTCGAGCTCGTGCAATACAACTGGGCGGGCGGGCTTTTGAGACGTCTAAAACGTTCCCTTTATTCTCTCCCCTTCCTCCCACTTCCCCCAGTGCCCGTGCTGTTGCAGCTGCAGAACACGCTCGAGCTCGTGCAATACAACTGGGCGGGCGCGGGGGACTGCGCGCTCGCCGCGGAACTCGGGGAGGCGGAAACCAGGGGAGAAGCGCGGGGAGAACCGGGGGTAGAGGCCGCGGCAGCAGCAGCGGCGGTGGGTGGGGCGGCGGAGCCGTTGTTCCCCCTGCGGGGGAAGGCTGCGGGGGTAGTGGGGCGCGCGGGGTGGGCGGGGGTGGCGTGTGACTCTCAGGGGAACCCCGTCCGCATGGAGTTCCCCCGACAGGGCCTCACTGGGCATCTGCCTCTTGACGTCTCCAGGCTCACCTCGCTCACCAAGATGTAAGCTCTTGAGGCGCCTCGCAAGGCGCACGCGGGGGAACCCCGTCCGCATGGAGTTCCCCCAGCAGGGCCTCACAGGGCATCTGCCTCTTGACGTCTCCAAGCTCACCTCGCTCATCAAGATGTAAGACTTGGAGCATGCTGTGCTGACGTTACTCGGGAGATGCCTAAAGCAAGTGCACATCCGACGTGGCGGTCGGTGATTGGCTTTTGAATTTTCCACCTCTCGTGCTTTTCTGTTTTTCAATTTCATGGTTGGAGCATTCGAGCTCCTACCCGGAACTGAGCGTCTTCTTGATTTTCTTGGGTTTCTTGATTTCCTTGGTTGTCTCGGTTATCTTGCCGGTTTGTAACGGTTGCTTGCTCCTGCATGTTTCTCTGTGGAGCTCGAAAGTCGTCTCGCCTGCTCTCTCATGCTTCCCCTTTGCGCCTTGCGTTGATTCCTCCCTGCAGTGACCTGCAGCGAAACCTCATTATAGAGCGACTCGACGTCTTCATCAAGCCTCTCGAAGGACTAACCAACTTACAGCACTTGTACGTCTTGCTTCCGCCCTTGGTTATTCCAACTTGACTCTCGTCACCCTCTTCTTCCATCCTCAAGCCACTCCTCTCACCGCCCTCCGTGCTTCTCAAGCTCCCTTCCTCACCTGCCTCCCACTCTTTTTCAGAGTCGGCATACACCTGTCTTTGAGTATTCTCTTTCTCACTGTTTCAAGAAGCATCTCCCTGCTCCACCTGCACCTGCATCCACCGTGTCTCTCCTCTGCAGGGACCTCTCTTCCAATTTTCTCTTCCTCCTCACTTTCCTCTCCTCTTCTCGACCTTCCAAGAAGCATCTCCCTGTTCCGACTGCATCCCCCCTGTGTCATCTCATCTCTACAGGGACCTCTCGTCCAATTTCCTCTTCGGCAGCATCCAGCCGTCCATCACCGCCGCCTTTCCACGCCTCACAGCACTGTGAGTAGTTTTGTCTGGAATATGCATTGAGTATTTTTGTCTGGAATGTGCATTGAGTATTTTTGTCTGGAATGTGCATTGAGTATTTTTGTCTGGAATGTGCATTGAGTATTTTTGTCTGGAATGTGCATTGAGTATTTTTGTCTGGAATGTGCATTGAGTATTTTTGTCTGGAATATGCATTGAGTATTTTTGTCTGGAATATGCATTGAGTATTTTTGTCTGGAATATGCATTGAGTATTTTTGTCTGGAATATGCATTGAGTATTTTTGTCTGGAATATGCATTGAGTATTTTTGTCTGGAATATGCATTGAGTATTTTTGTCTGGAATATGCATTGAGTATTTTTGTCTGGAATATGCATTGAGTATTTTTGTCTGGAATATGCATTGAGTATTTTTGTCTGGAATATGCATTGAGTATTTTTGTCTGGAATATGCATTGAGTATTTTTGTCTGGAATATGCATTGAGTATTTTTGTCTGGAATATGCATTGAGTATTCTCACACCGGCTCGCCTCTCAAGTGCCTCCTGTGCTTTCTCAGAAAGACACCTTTCTCAATCCGCTTCCCCATCCATTCTCCTTTTCCCCGATCCTTCCTCCGCTTGCCCGTCCCTTTCTCCTGTGATTCCCTCTCAGACTGCTATCAAGCAACCGCCTCACGGGCCGAGTTCCATCACGCCTCCCGCCTCTCCTCTCCACCCTCTCCCTCTCCTCCAACTACCTCTCGGGCTCCCTCCCCCGCACCTCCCTCCTCTGCTCCCCCGCCTCCTTCTCCCTCAACTGCTTCTCCAAACAAGACCTTTATTCCTGCTTCGTCTCCCGAACCAGCCAGCCAGGCTCGGCCGGGCCTCGCTTAGGCTCCGCTGTGCTGGACCTGGCGTCTCTTGTGGAGCAGCAGCGGCCGGAGCAGCAGTGCGGGGAGGCGCTGTGTGGGGGAATAAGCGAAGGGGAGTATTGTGAGGGGAAGGGAGTGTGCCGCCCAATGATCCTCAGTCCGGCATTCAAGTATGGCGATGTGCTGCCGTGGATGTGTGCATGCCACGACGGGGAAGTGGGTCGATGCTGTGAGTCTACGGTTGCTATCAGCTAGATGATCCCCCCCCCCCCCCAACCCCCCCCCCCCCCCCCCCCCTCCCCCCCTCACCCTTTTTTTTTTGTCTTCCCGGACTCTTCTTTCTCAACGATGGCCATCTACCTGGTTTGCTGTCACCCATCCCATCCACATCCATTTGCTCACCGCATTCAGCTGCCAGCATGCAGCATACAGCACGTTTCCTTCAATCCCATTGTTTTGCTGGTGCTTAGACCAACCCTCTTCTCTCGCCCATTTTTTTGCGGACCCCAAACCTGCCTCCCCTCATCCTCCTCTCAGGTCCCCAGTTGCTTCGCAAGCGCTGCCCATCCATCTCGCCCTGCCCGAAGCACGCAGTGTGCATCCCCTTCGTGCCTTCTCCGCTCGGTTACCAATGCCAGTGCACCCACCCCTGCTACAGCGTCCCTGCGCGTGACAATAAAGGGCAGCTTGTGGAGTGCAGACCAAATTCAGGGGCCCCAGAGTGTGCCTATGTCGAGAAGAGGGTTGTGGGGGAAGATGAGGATATGGATGGGCTAGATGTGGAATAAAGAATCACAAGTTTTTTCGTCGCTCAAGCGGCAAATGGTTTGTGATTCTGAAGAATACGGTAGGAAAGGCGCTTAGCTGAACAGACAAGTTTTTTTTTTTCCGCTCAGGTGCATGTTTTCCCGTGTGCAGCCGTAAGGCTATGCTATATATAAGTGGCCAAGTACATAGGGTTGTCTGGTTCAACTTGAAATGTATTATCCACTAATACATGTTTTTTTGGCCTGTACCTTGGTTAGCGAATTTAATAACCAGCACCTCACAAGTATCCATCCATTCCTAGTTTTTATCGAGTGCCCTTTTTGCATATTGTACAGCTGAACTTTTTCCTTAGGTTAATATCTCGCTGCGCTCTTTGTGAAATGAAAGCGGAGCGCGACAATAACGCGAAACTCAGCTCAAAGTCCGGCAGGCGAGGGTTTGTTGGCTCATTTTCAGGACTCCCTCTCCTGTTCGGCTTTTCTAGGAGGTAGTATTGGAGGTTTAGTCCCGATTGATTAATCTATTCCTGATCTTGAACCTGGACAACCATCGTCGCCAAATAAGTCTGGTAAGTTCTATTAACTTATATAGCATGCTTTTTTGTCACCGTTCGCTAGTATTTAGCTTACAAGATGCCTAATGATGGAGTGATGTTGTTTTCAGCAGGTGGTGTTTGTGTGATCGGGAATCATGGCGCGGGTGTACGTTGGTAATTTGGATCCCCGTGCAACGGAACGAGAGCTTGAAGACGAGTTCCGAAGCTATGGCGTTCTAAGAAGGTACTGAATCAAAGTTTCACCGCGTCGATTTGTTGCCGTTAATTCACCGCTTAATCTCTTGAGAAATCATTCACCACTTTCTGACAGTGAAGCCGTTGCCGTGCAGTGTGTGGGTCGCTAGAAAGCCACCTGGCTTCGCGTTTATTGAGTTCGACGACCACAGGGATGCTCAAGATGCTATTCGAGCTCTCAACGGTAAGAAAGAGCCTGTTAACGGTTTATTTACACCGTGTTTTCCTATTTCATAGTGTTAGACTTCATAGTTATTTGTATTACATGTTTGTGTGACATCGGGCAAGCAAATTCAAGCAGTTTTAGTTATATTTTTTTAAATCAGTTTTATTCTTATGTTTGTGTGACATCAGGCAAGCAAGGCTGGCGTGTTGAGCTTTCACGTGCCTCTGGCGGAGGAGGAGGTGGTCCAGTTCCTGTGCGAAGGGGAGGTGACGACATGCGCTGCTACGAGTGCGGCGAACCCGGTCATTTCGCCCGCGAGTGTCGCATGCGTCTCGGAGGAGGCGGAGGCGGAGGTGGAGCGCGCGGTCGCAGCCCTCCGCGCTATCGCCGAAGCCCGGATTACGGTCGCGAGAGGTGAGTTGAACAATTCAGTCTAGCATTTTTTGTTGACTCTTTGATTCACGCTTGATTTGTGTTACAGATTTTTTGTTTTTTTTTTTCCCGTTTCCTGCTTCTCGTCCCGTTTATCCGGTCCGAATTTCTTAATAAACAATTAAGGCGTGCTCCCTGGACCATCCTGGCCACCCGCTTTCTTTCCAGCCATCTTCTTTTCTTTCGCGATCCGTTCTCATTTCAATGTCAATTGATTATGTTTCATTTTCCGCCTCCCCTCATCAGGGATGATTCCCCTCGGCGCAGGAGCCCCTCTCCCCGCCGCCGGAGCCCGTCCCCCGGTCGTCGCCGGAGCCCCTCCCCCCCCCGCCGCCGGAGCCCTTCCCCGGACAGGCGCCGCGGAAGCCGATCTCCCCCGCGCGTCCGCAGCCCGGCTCCCGGGTCCCCGCGTCGTGACGAGTGAGTGCTCGCGTGCTTCATCCGCCCCGTTTTACCCTCTATTGCGGCCACCATTACGCCCCCCCCGTTCTCCTTTTGCCGCCTTCCCTCCTGTCTTCCTCTCTTGTCTCTCCCTATTCTCCCTTTCCCCAAATCCTTCCTGTTTCTCGCTGTCAACCCTCCTGCGCAAACCTCTCTTCCCTCACCCTCCCACTCCCCCTCGTGCTCTCCATATGTACCTGCCACCTGGATCTGATTTGTTTCTCTCTCTTAGCTCGCCTGACGCCAAGTGATGACGTCCCTCTGCGTGTCCCTCAGGCGGAGCCCCTCTCCTCGCCGCCGCCGGAGCCGCAGCCGCAGTTAGGCATTCGGAGCACCAGTGGACGTGCTTCCGTAATGGAATCTTGTGCGCGGGTCTGAAGGATGACATGGTCACACGGCTGATTGCTGCTTCTGCAGCTGCTTCGGGAGCTGCTTTCTAACATAGATTTCAGAAGGCTCTGGAGTTCCTTTAGGGGAAGAGCCATGGCTGCCTGCTCTTCTGCTTCGTTATCTTCTCTGCTAGCTGCTTCTTCTATCGGCTTCTTCTATCTGCTTCGTCTTGTGGACTGCGTTATAAGCAATGGATTCGGCCTTCTCATTTTCGGCTGCTTGGTGGCCTGCTATCTGCTATCTGCGTCCTGCCCTGCGCTGTCTCTGCCGTTCTGCTCGTCTCTTCTTTCTGCTCGTCACTGCTCGCCACCCATTCTGCTCGCCACTGCTTGCCGCTGTCACTGCTCGTGACTGCACGTGACTGCTTTCTGCTCGTCACGGCTCCCTGCTCGTGACTGCACTGCACTCGTCTCGTCTCTGCTCTCTGCTCTCCACAGCACTGCACTGCACCCCCCCTCCCTGCTCTCCATTCCCCAGGTCTGTGCTTCCCTGTCCTTCAAACTTGCTTACTTGCTATTGCCAAAGGAAAAGGAACGCACAAGAGGTTGAGTGCTTGTGAGCGAAATCGAGTAGCACATTAGGGTACACATGCCCCCAATTTCTCAAAATTGCTATTGTTCTAACCTCCTGTTGTGTGGCCATGACATTGTTGTCTGGCTATGACGGTGGTTGCTTCAACTGGTGTTGAGGCAATGGGAAGAACACCGCATGCAGTTTCTGCATTAGCCTGCCTACTTCCAGCAGATATATCATGAAAAGTTGTCCCACCATTTCATGTGCGCCTCAAGTGGCTGTCACTTGAAAGGTCCCTCCCCTCCCCAGTCTGTTTTGCATATACTATGAGGTAAGGTGTGACCTGCTAGCTTTGGGAAAATGCCGGAAGGAAGTGCTAGTGAGATAAATGGTGGTGATTTTTGTGTCTGGCAGTTAAGCTGACAACTGGTTCAATGTTTGAATGGACTTTCTTGGACTTTTTCTTGACACAACCATCCGGTAATTGATAGTTTGATTCCTGGCGTCAATTCACCTGAATCCTGTTGCAATCGTTTGTCAATTCATCCAACAAATGCAGACAGTCTGCAATGGTAGTTCTTGCAAATAGCCACTGCTCCCAACACTTGCAGTATCTTTTGAGCAAACATTGACTGTACTAAGTATCCTCCCCACATCTCCTAATTTAGCCAATTGTGAAAGTGTACTTAGGCTGACTGGCAAAGGTAGCGTTATCATTTCATATGGGCAGCGTTATCATTTCATATGGGCAGCGTTATCATTTCATATGGGTTGTAGTACATCGTTCTCATCTTATATATGTCTACATAACAGCATACACAAATGGGTGGGCGGGTGGGAAATTAGAACTACAATTTTGAAAATGAAAACGTGGGTGGGGACGAATGTCCCCACGTCCCTCTTTTGTAGGCAAAAGAGGGTGAGTAGCGCTTCGGCGCTACCTTTGCTGTGTTGGCCACGTACCCCTTTTCACAATACAAAATTTTAGAAAGTGTTACATTTCATTACACTTTCAAAAATTATCATATTGTGAAAGTGTACTTAGGTTGACTGGCAAAGGCAGCGTTATCATTTCATATGGGTCTTCTGAGGTAAGTGCAGTCGGGGCTGCCGGTGGCGTTCGATGGATAGCTGATGCGTAGCGGGCGAGGGAGCCGTCGAAGGATCCTGCAATTGCGTAGAGAGGGAGATGAGCTGATCCTGCGCGATTGTAACGTACATCTCCTTCGCGCTGTCGCTGCGCCATCGGCCCATGCGTTTGAAGAGCCGGTCAGGAACTCCGAGGCTCGCCGCTGCAGTGGCTGCGCCTTTGCGGAATGAGTGGGTTCCGATGTGCGCGACATCCAGTCCAGCTTGTCTGCCGGCTGCGAGGCACCAGTTTCTGATCGTAACGTAGGATGGCGATTTGTCGTTCGGTGTGGCTTGTGAGTTGTTTGGGAAAACCCTTATCAGCGGTCCATGGGGCACCTTTGTGAGGCCTGCGATGTGTATGAATGCGCGCGTGCACCTCACCGGGCAGTATGGGCTTGGAATTGCCGCCACGGGGATCCAGACTCTCCTCCCCTCCTGGTCCGTCTTGGAGTGCGGAATGAGCAGCCACATTGCCTTCTCCTCGAACTGTACGTCATTCCATTGGAGCGAGACGAGGTCGGAGTAGCGCAAGAATGCCGAAAACATGAGAAGAGGAATCAATCATTTCTGTTATTAAGCAGGAATTGATGATTCGAGGAAGGGACGAGCCATGTCGTGCACTTGATGGAGAGATATGGGCTCTTTGGTTCTTGTAGGGCGGGGACCATGTCTCTCGGCGAACTCCCGCACCTACAGGGTGAGTGGGCCGGCGGTAGGGGAGGTTTCGCCTGTCATACGGTGGGCAAAGGCTACTTCCGAACACGTGAGGTTGATCGCGGAGAGAGTTGCTTTGTTGTTGAGCGCATGGATGAGATACAGCGCTAGCATCAGGTCGGTTGCCGGGAGGAACTCGAGCTTAACTTGGGTACAGAAGGCGCGAAATCTCTGCCAATAAGGTTGGTACGTCTCGATTCTAGATGGTGCGCGAACGTGGCTAATTACGTGCAGCAATTGTTGCTTTAGTTTGGCCAAAAGTCCTGAAATGACACATTGAGAAATTGTTATTAGACTGCATAGTTTACACGCAAAGCAATGATTGGGCTATGAGGCAATCCGAGACCAAAGAATGCAGCTGTGTGTGAACCTGCCCGAAGGCATTGACTGCCTTGGGCAAGGGAAAGGTGCTCGACTACTGCTGGAGCCCACGATTGAGTGGACGTTTGAAGAAGCGGCCACCATGACGCTCCGGTCCACTGGGGAACGACGAGCGTGAGTTCTGGCTGCGTCAGTTCCGCGTGGCGGAGTGTAGCGGGAATTAAGTGTGGAGGCGGGAAGGCAAAGCATCGCTCGTCTTTCCACGAGATGGAAAATGCGTCGACGGCGAATGCGTCGGGGTGCGGTATCTTGGAGCAGAAGCGCTGAACGTGATTGTTCCGAACGTTAGCAAAGAGATCAATTGTGTGAGGCCCCCAGCGTCGTTCCAAGAGGCGAAACCAAGGTGCATGTAGGGAGTAGTCGTCAAAATCTTGCATCTTGGATAGGTCATCCGCATGGGCGTTGAGCTCCCTCGGAATCCATTCGATCGCGAGGCGTGTTGTGTTGCTGAGGCAGAACTGGATGATCGCTTGGCATGTCGACGTAAGATCCGCCTGACGGGATCCTGTCAGAATGAGGAATGGATGTTGCATTGATGTTGGTTGGGGTACATATGACAAACCCTAACTTCTGTACCCCCTAAGACAAACCTCACTACAGGCTACAACATTTGACACACCCCCATAGCCTAAGTGAGGGGTGTCTAGCAAAAACAAAAAAAAGAGTACGGTCACAAGACCAGTCCAAAAGAAAACAAAGCTCAGGGTGGATCACAACGTCACCACACACTCTGAGCACAAGCAACAGTGGCCACAAGGCCAGTCTAAGAGATCACAAGTATATATAGTAAGTGTACAGACGAAGCAGGCAATAAACTCAAGTCTACGCATGACTAGAACCTGTGTCAACAAGGCCTAACTGCACACAACACCTCTGGTGGTCACAAGGCGGAAGCGCCTTGGTGAAGATGTCTGCAGTGTTGGCCTCGGACTCTACAAACTCGAAGCGAGCCTGTCCACGCCTCTGCAACTCTCGCAGAAGAAAGTACCTGACGTGAATGTGCTTCACTCTGCTCTCCAGTCGCGGCTCACGACAGAGGAGGATCGACGCCTTGTTGTCAGTAAACAAGGTCGGTGCAGAGCTCGGCCGCTCACCAAGGTCGGCGAGCAAGAAGGTCAACCACCGTAACTCCTGTGCCGCCATGGCACCAGCGTAAATCTCAGCCTCAGCTGTAGAGGTCGAGACAGAAGAGGAGCGCGTGGAACGCCAGGAAACAGCTCCAGAACCCAGACTGAAACAGTACCCCTGAGTAGACCTGTGAGTCTCAGCGTCGTCAGCGTAAGAGGAGTCACAGTGACCAGTGAGTACGACAGACTGCTGCCCTCCAAGAACTAGCCCCACGCCTGATGTAGTCGCTAGGTACTTCGCCACCCTCACAGCTGCCGTCCAGTGAACAGGACGGTGTCTCCCTGGCGCAACAAAGCGCGCAAGGATGCTGAGAGGGAAGGCGAGGTCCGGGCGAGTACAAGTCATCAGGTACATGAGGCAACCCACAAGCTCTGCGTAGGGACCACTAGGCTCAAACGGCTTGTCAGGAAAGGGACCAGTGAGTCTGTGGTCAACAGCTAGAGGTGTGCGCTGTACGGTGGAGTGCTGAAGCCCGAACCGCTGAAGGACCTGCTGCACCATGTGTGACTGTGAGAGTGTAATGGTGCGAGCGGCTCTGTCCCTGGTGATCTGCAGGCCAAGGTAGTGGCGCAGCTCACCAAGATCAGTGCACGTGTGTCTCTTCTGCAGTTCGGACTTCACGTCTGCCAAAGCAACCCTGTCCGGAGTGGCGAAAACGAGGTCGTCGACGTAGACCAGGACAAAGAACGGTGTGGAGCCACGACGAACGAACAGCGACGGGTCAGCAGAAGACGGCTGGAACCCAAGATCAGAGAGGGTAGAACGCAGAGTGTCGTGCCACTCACGAGGGGCCTGGCGAAGACCGTAAACAGGTCGCCTCAGCCTCCACTGGGTCCCAGGAGGGAAAGTGCCAGTGAAGGCCGAGGGACGACGTAACCAGACCTCCTCGTGTAGGCTGCCCTGAAGGAAAGCAGTGGAGAAGTCGAGAGAGTGTAACTCGTAGTCTCTCTGTGCTGCTACGTGTAGTAACACCCGAAGAGTGGTCATCTTCGGG